ATTACCTCTGTACTTTTAATTAATTCATAAGAYTCAAAATACTACTACTTGGAGCCAATAAGAATGTAAGTATAAATACAAAAGCCCTAAATTCTAGGTTATACATTTATCTTTCAAATGATCTAATTTGTGAATTTTCTTTTAGAGTTCATAGAAATTAAAACTCAAAATTTCCTCTCAAATTCTTGGGCCCTGAAAGCATGTCTATAAATCCTGGTTGAAAAAAACATTGATCTAAAACTGTTTCATTGAACATAGTTGAAACTGAATACATTGAGTTCTTTGGTGGGAGAATTTAACCATGAACTGATTGAGATCAGCACTTGCACTAAGTGCACTTAGATTTTCTAGTACTCAAGGTTCAGGTTCACTTCCTATGTCTTTGACACTTTGAGAGGCTTTAAGCCTCTGTCATGGACCCCTTTTTAGAATCACATCTACAAATGAAGGCAGCAAAACTGCTTTTTAAAAAACTTTCATGCAAATTTTTTTAAGGGCGACTAATTATATACAGTTTTCAAAATACCTCTTAAAATCAAACATTTTGTAGCAGTATTGCTGCTTTATTTATTAAATGTCAAGATGGGGACGTCTAGTAACATAAGTAAAATATAAAAATGTCTGTGATTTTTATTGATGACAAATTTATATATCCTGTTTAATATTGTTGTGTTTTGAGGCTTGTGTTCATATTTGAAGGAAATTTTGGATTTTAGAGTTAAAGGTTAATATATATATATATATATATATATATATATATATGTAATTTTTTCCTTATCTTTATATTCACAAACCCCTGGGGTTAAGAACCTTTGCTCTAACGTTTATATAGTTGGTTTGTATGTGTGTGTATATAAAATATGAGCCCACTATGAGGTTGGAGTTGTGGCTCAGTGGTAGAGCTCTCGCCTGGCATACATTTAAATTTATATGAATATACATTTAAATTTATGTGAAGACTATTTGGGACTTTCTTTTGCTAAATAATACTTGAATACTTGTACGCCATCTTTCATATAATAACTCAAAYAATAAATATGTCCTAGGATTTATTATAAGAAAAAATATTCCTTTCCTTAATGGTATATTTCTTGGATTTAACTACCACAACACTTAGAGACAAATTCATTGTTTTATTGCAGAAATGAATTCAAAATTACCTATACATTTTACAAATTGTAATGTAATATTGTCCTCTTTGCTAGGATCTGTTGATGATGGAACAAGTGAAAGACTTTGCTGCTAATGTGTACGAAGCTTTTAGTACCCCTCAGCAATTGGAGAAATGACTTTTCCTTCAAGAAAAACTACAGTGGGATTCAGTTACTTTTAAAAATACATGAATAAATCAACTATACATAGAGTGACAATTTGTTACAAAAATGCCTAATAAAAATATATTCTTAATCAAAGTCTTCATTTCATAATGAAACAGATTTATTTGGCATCTTAATATATATTTTTAAATTCATCAACAGACCAATTTTTGCAGGTATATCTAAATGTACACACAATGCAGATATAAKAATTGTTCATAGTTTATTACATCAGGGATATTTGATCCAAACTGACTACAACTAAGGTAATTACTTTTATATAAACTATGAAGTGCTGTGTATTTTGGCATTAATACTGAGGAAAAATCTGTTCAGGAAATAAGCCTAAAATGTATGAAGTTTGGAAAATGTGCTGTTTAACTAATCATAAAATTCCTTGGACTCTGCAGTAACCAGGAGTAAATATTGGACTTTTCTCCAGTTACCTTTCAAAGGAATAAATTATTTGTTTCATATATTCTGGAGGGGTTTTTTTTCTTAAGGAAATCAGTGAATTTTAACAATTATGATGAGCTTTTTTTTTTCTTTGCTATTTCTTTGCAATAGTTTCTAACTTTCTTAGAAAGTTACATATTGATTTATAGGCTCAAATTGTGTTAATGCTGTTTTACTCACAGCTATTATTAACTGCATAATTTTATTAATTTGTATGTAAATAATTTTAATAACTTACTTTGTAATGATTTTGAGTACAATGAATCTTATTGCAATAAACTATTTTAATACAACAGATTTGTTGAGTTAATATTTTACTGCCATTATTTGTCCCATAGTGCTTTTACTGTTATTTTGGAAGAACAAGTTTTAGGTTTCATTTTAACTGCTAATATAGTTGCTTTAACTTGTTTAGAAAAAAAATAAATAGCATTACTTTCTGAAAAATAAATGAATGCATTGTCTCTAGTAACTTTATAGTTCTGAATATAAAAGGGGAATTATGGCAGAAATAAATGAATCATTATCATTAGTTTWTTAGATATATTTTCAGTAATAGATAATTTTCAAACATCATTTATGTCTCTCTAAYATAACATAGCTAAATAGTAAAAGGCAGAAAATGAATTGTGAAGTCTTTTCTGAGCTAGGCCCAGAGCCTACTGCTAAAGTGTGTATGTCTAGAATGCTTTAAAAAATGAAAACAGGTATAATCGAGAAGAGGGAATGCTTTCAAAGTTTGACAGAATATATTGTTATCATTCCTAATTGGGTGAAGGAAAAATTGCATTTTGGAAGGTTAGGGAACATATATAATGGGCATGCATGTCTTCCAGCAATATTTACCCAGGATTTCATCAGAGAAAATTTGAGAATAAACAGGGGCGGTTTTATAAGAACACATTTGATCAACTGAAAATTATTACTTGGAATCATCTGCATCTGTACAGTTGTGGCTGTTGGAAAGATAGCAAGGTAAAACCACATATATTTAAAATTATTTGTGTTAGGCATTACTAGTTTACTTTCTAGTAATACTAGAGTTGCTTTGTCAGACACTTAGTATGCTTAATCTAAAAAGTTATTTGAAACAGATTATTATATACACATATTTTAGACATTTTAACTTATAAGTATTCTTTATTTGTCAGTGATTTTTCATAGGACCCGGGTCTTTTCTAACTTCAGTATGCGCTGCTGAGCTGGAACACTGGTGGTGGRGTGATTAGCAGAACTGCCTTCCAGTGGAGGTCCACTGTAAGTGTTCTATAATTGTCTTTCCTACACAAATCACATGGATTTCATTGCATGGCTGTGAACCAGAGGAGCAGAATTTTTGTACATTTTTATTGTAGTTCTCTCCAGTTTGTTAGTACTGTTTTGCCTACACTTAACCAATAGCATTTTTAACATTTGGGCAATATTTTATCTGTTCTTTCTGAAGTATTAAACTTGGCTTTCACAGCAACTATAACTCTTCAACATTCATCAACTAATATAATCATAAAAATAAAATGTCAACTTGCATAATCAATTTAGCAACCATATTAGTTTCTCAGGGCTGCTGTAAAAAATTACTATTAACTGGGAAGCTCAAGACAACAGATATGGTTAGAAATTCAAAATCAAGGTATCAGCAAGGCCGCACTTCCACTGCAGGCTCTAGGGAAGATCCTTCTGGTCTTTCCTTGCCTCGTCCAATCTCTGGTGGCACCAAGCATTCCTTCATTTATGTAATTGCATAACCCTAAATCTCTGCTTTATCTTCACAAGGCTTTATGTATCTCTGTGTCCTTTTCTAAAGTCTCTTTTAAGGATACTGGCATTGTATTTAGGACCTACCCACATCCACTATGTGCTTGTCTCAATCCTTAATTACATCTGTAAAAACACCATTTCCAAGTGAGATCATGTTCATAATTGTTGAGAACACTATTCAACTTATGATAGTCACATACTCAACTAACTTTTGGTTTATACATATTTTAGCAACTGGAAATGGATGAGCTTACCAAATAAAAGCCTAAAGCTTGTCCTGGGCATCAATCTGTCTGTTTTTTACAAGGAAATGAACAGTATCAGTTAATCTGATGATTAAATGGAGATGACTTTAAACTGTCTCTACTTTTATACTTTCAAACTTGCATAAATATGCTTGTTATTATATATGTATAAAAGTTTTATATGGACATTTATTTTATCTGGAAATTAAGAAGATTCTTATCTAACCAAGTTTTTCACTTAGCCAAAATGAAATGAAGGTTTGTTATAATTCATATTTATTTGTAGTCTGACCTCTAAGAGCAATTATTACATTCTTCAATATGGCACTCAGAAGAAAATGAGATAAATCTTATTAAATTGATATTCATTTTTAAAATGGCAAAACAAACATCAATGTCTATATTATTCAATCTAAAACTTTGCCTTTAATATATACTTTGGTTTACTCTGCCTTTAATATAWAGTCATTAAAAGTAAATCAGAAATTACCAAAATTCAAGTAAGGCAAATTTGTGCCTATGAGCAACTCTAGGAAAAGGATTAATTAGTGAGAGGATAAAAAACTATTGGGTTAGATAGGTAGTGAAAGGTCTGATTTCTAACCATCCTCAATCCTTGCCTTCCATGCCTTAGATCATTTTAAGAATTTGGAGTGTTTCAAATCCTTGTTATAATAGTATAATAGTGTTCCCTCCAAATTATTCACCTGGAACCTCTGAGTATTAGCTCACTTGGAAATGTTGTCTTTACAGTTGTAATTTACCCAGTGGTAGTACATTTCACATATAAACAAGATATACTTTAAATAAATCTAAATTTAGATCTATACTTTTTTTTATATAGTCTGGTTATTGGCAAAACATCAGCACTTCTGAATACTGAATTTTTTTCATATAGCTCCCTCATAGCTACTCATTTACTAAACCCTGTCTCTAACTATGATTTCCTGAAGTATTTCCATTTTTAGCATAACTTCATTCTTAATTTTAAGAGGTCAAGATGGGCAGGTGTTTTAGTCAACGTTTTCACTGTTGTGACTAAAAGGCTCAACCAGCACAATTGTAGAGGGAGAAAAGTTTATTTGGGGGCTCACAGTTTCAGAGGTCTCAGTCATAGAAGGCCGATTCCATTCTGTGGGGCTCCAGGTGAGGCTGAACATCATGGTGGAGGAGTATGGCACAGGGAAGCAGTTCACATGGTGATCAGAAAGCAGTCTTCACTTGCCAGATACAAAAACACACCCCCAATTCCCACCTCTAGTCACACCCCACCTGCTTCTAGTTACCAGTAATCCCATCATGGATTAATTTGCTGATTAGGTTGAGGATATGACCCAATCATTTCTCCTCCAGTCCTTCTTGTATTGTCTCTCTCTCGAGTTAGGTTTTGGGAGACACCACATTTAAACCATAAAAGCAAGGTAGGAATTTAAGCAATTCAGAAATTTTGGGCTCAAGAATAATTTCTTCAAACAGCTAACYGTACTTTTGCCTTTAGATTACTGTTAGTACCATTTGGTTGGATTTTGTTTTGTCATTTTCCTTTATGTATTATTTTATTTGTTGGTTTCTTTTTCTTTTTTTGTATTGTTTTTCTTCATATAATGTTTGGAATCATGAAAATCTACATAGAGTGGATCTCTAATAAAAGGTTAATTGGGATTTAGGAACTACTAAAATATTTATCCACATAAATTCTTCRGCATAGCTTCAAATATTTAATAATTGCAGCTGAATCCCAGCTACTTGAGAGGTAGAGGCAAGAATGTCACTTGAGCCCTGAAGTTTGAGGTCAGCCTGGGCAATATAGTGAGACCCTGTCTCAATAAGAAAAAATAATGGTTAGTTTCAAGAACCTCAACAATGAGTAATTTTAAAAATAAAGTTTTCAACCTTGGCATGATTTTAGGAAATAAAAATAATGTTTAATCTCACTATTTGAAGGACTTTTTTGAAACACATTTCTACATTTGATTGTAGCAAAGTGGAATCTATAGCATTTCAAATAAAGATAGGGCCATATAAAACATCTTTTGTTGAGGGGAATGAGCTCCTTAATCAATTTTCATTAAACTTACATTTGAAAAATCATAATTATTTTTGTCTCCTTCTAAGAGAAGATCTGAATAGATTTCCTAATTTTCAAATGGGTTTTCAACTTCAATTTGCTTGAAGGTAAATACAGTAAACAAATTTATGAATTTAAGTTGGCCTTCAGATTAACCCATCTTCAAAAATAGGCCCATACCTCAAATCTCATACCTCTTTCTAACCTCTCTTTCTGCAGGGGAAAAAAATTGGAAGACTATGTTCTAAAATATTAGTAGTGCCAATCTGAGTAGCAATTTCATCTTGGAGAATTTGTTTTAAAATATCTATAATAAACATGTATCAGTTTTATAACTAAGAGGGAAAAGATTATTACTGGATATATTGGAAATACACATTGGGCCAAATTTATTAAATACCTGTATTATTGTATGCTAGGGTTGCCATAACAAAACAAGACACACACACACACACACACACACACACACACACACACACACTTGCCTAGATGGCTCAAACAACAGAAATTTATTTTCTCAGTTCTGGTGGCTGGAAGTTCAACATCAGGATATTGGCAGATTTGGTTGGTTTGATGCTTCTGTCTGGCCTTGCAGATGGTGACCTTCTTGCTATGTTTTTACATAGCTTTCTTCTGTGCTCTTGCATCTCTGGTACCTCTTTCCCTTATAAGACACCAGTCCTATTGAATTAGGGCCCTGCCCTTATGACCTCATTTAATCTTAATTATCTCTTTATAAATCTCTATTTCCAAATATAGTCACATCGKGGGTTAGAACCTTCAACATAAGAATGATGGGGTGGGGGGGACACACACAATTTAATCCATAGCACCACTAGTTCCCAAGCAAAACTAAAAACAAAAAATAATTCTACCTCTGACACACATGGAAATGAATTCAATGTGAAGAGGAAAAACTTAAATGGTAAAGTGCAGTGAAAGTTAAAATGATACCATGTGTAATTTAGGCAACAGGGAGAAAAGGGAACAGAGAGCTGTGTTTTCTAATTACTTGATTTTTTGATTTGTTTTAATTAGTTACACATGACAGTACCATGACCTTGACATATCATACATTTGAGTCAGATGGGATAAAATTTTATATTTGCTTTCTCCACATAGTATAATCACAGACACCTATCATTTCCTAGTGTTAGAGCTAACTGCAGCATGGGTCTCTCTGCTGCACGTTAGGTCACGTTAGTTAGAGCAAGAGCCCAGCCCCAATTGCAGGGCATCTGAGGAAAGCTTAGCTGTGGCAGTTCTACCATGATGCCATCTGGCTTTGAAGAAATCCAGTTAAGCTGCTTTCCGTGTCCCAGTAGTTTTACCTGAAATTAGAAATATTAGACATACAATGTCTCCAGATGCATCTCTCAGATCCACCCACTTTTTGGGGAGAAGAAGTGATTGATATTTCTAAAAAAGCACCACTGACAGAAGATTCTTTTGTTTTTTTTTTTTTTTTTTGGTCCCAGGGATTGAACTCCAGGGGCACATGACCACTAAGCCACATCCCCAGCCCTATTTTGTATTTTATTTAGAGACAGGGTCTCACTGAGTTGCTTAGCACCTCGCTTTTGCTTTTGAGGCTGGCTTTGAACTCTTGATCTTCCTGCCTCAGCCTCCTGAGCCACTGGAATTACAGGCATGTGCCACCGGGCTCAGCAGAAGATACATTTTTACCTTTCGAGAGTTACAAGTTTTAAGTCAATTCAGTGAATACATCTTTTTCCTTTATTACTCTCAAGAAGGAAATAAAATTGTACAAAGATTGGGGGAATCAAAATTGTGAAGCTTGAATGAAGTGTCCAAGGAGGGGAAATGCCAAAGAGAGAATCAGATAGAAAAAGACTGGAACCATTTTGCCCAACCAAGGCCTGCCCAGTGCTTACACTGAATGTTTGGAGAAACAACTCTCTTCTTTAGCCACTGTTTCCTCCCAGGTTTTCTAATAGCCTCCACTAATCAATAATATATAAATTTAATCAGTTACTGCTATAATTGTTTCACAGCCTTAATTTTCATTATGCTAAGAGGATTAAAATAAGTTATTCCCTACATATGCTAAGAGTATTTTGAACCATAACTTTCTCAGATGGATCAACATAAGAACAAAATCCTTCTACTTTTATTTTTTGCYGTCAAAAAGTCTTCCACATGCTAGATAAGCAGTCTACAAGAAAATATTCATCAATAACTTCATATTAATTGACTCATAGGCCACAACCCTTTTTAGTTTTATTTTGAATCAGGATCTCATTAAGTTGGCCAAACTGGCATTGAATTTGTGATCCTCTTACTTTAGCCTCCCAAATAGCTGAGATTACAGGCATGCACCACCACACCCAGTATCCCATGTACTTTTAAATAATAATACTAACTGATGCCAAAGAAAACATAGATAAACTTAAATAATGTCATATCCAGACTTTAACGGTGTCCTTAAACTTTAGATTTGAACGCATCTTWTTTCTGCCTGATAACCATAAGTGTCACAAATGTGGAAAGTGACACAAAAAGGCTTATTTGGGCAACTCAGCTCCAAAGGAATCAACATCTTAAAGAACAAGCCATAAAATATGTCAAAATGGACTGACTACCAGACCTGGTGGTTACAACAGTTAGTTTAAAATAATAGGGTAATAACCAGGCCACAGTGCATGCTTGTAATTCCAGAGGCTTGGGAGGCTGAGGCAGAAGGGTTAAGAGTTCAAAGCCAGCCTCAATAACTTAGCAAGACCCTAAGCAACTTAGCAAAACCTTGCCTCTAAATAAAAAATATTTTTCAAAAAGGGCTGGGGCTGCGGTTATGACTCAGTTGTATAGCGCTTGCCTAGCATGCATGAGGCACTGAGTTTGAGTCTCAGCACCACATATAAATAAATAAATGAATAAATAAAGGTTCATCAACATCTAAAAAAAATACCCAAAGGGATGTAAGCTGGGGATGCSGCTTAGTGGTTAATTGCCCATGGATTCAATCCTGGATATCAAAAAGAAAAAAGTAGGGCCATGACATCTTAAATCATAAATCAGATGTGTTCYGGGCTGGGATGTCAGAGGAAGCACTTGAATATCAATTTTATGGAAAAAAATTAGTAAACTTGAACAATGTAAAATGAAGAACAATATCTATTTTATGTTGATATGCATGGAGATGATATATCTGTTGTAAGTTTAATTTTCTTAGGAAGAATTTGAAAAAATTTTGTCCAAACATTTGCAATTGATGAAGCTCATTTAAAAATTACTCTTATTAGATATAAGAGGAACATATATAAGGCTCCCCTTCAAATTAAAACAAGTTATGTTCTCATCAGGATATTTTAGTCAGCAACTTAAAGGAACACTTCCTCTTACCTCTGTTTCCCCCAGAATACCTCTGGGTTGGCCAAGAAACAGGTGTCCTGAGGCAGGCCACTTAAGGAAGATGGCATAGACTAATTTTTCCTTAGGTTTAGATGTATACCTGGTTAAAAGAAAAAGTAGAAAGCATAGTAACAAGTTACATCCTATGTTACTCCTTCTTTATAGGTCAGGTCTAGAATTATTTTAGAAATAATTCTATGTGCATTTACMAAGGTCTCTGCTAAAAAAGAAGAAATGAAAATAGCCCCCTGGTTGTATAAAAAGCACTCTATCCACTCCTCTAGTACTAAAAGGAAGTGCTTGGAAGAAAATAATTTTCTTTGGCTAGTATTCTTTTCAGACTGCTCTCATGGAACTGGAAAAGGGATGAGAATGGACTAAGTGTAGGACACAAGAACTAGATAGCTTTCCACCTGTTAATTCAAATCTTCCCAGGTATGCATGTGTCATCTGTGTATTGTGCTCAGTTAGGGATCCAACAAGAACAGCACTCAGCTAGTTTACAGTAAATTTTTTAAATTAARACTTCTGTTTTAGACATACAGCTTTACTATGCTCTACATCCAAATGGAAACAGACATGGAAAGGTCATCCATATGGCATTAAAGCCAAGAAAATGGATGAGATCAACTTTGGAATTAAGAACTAGAGAGAAAATAAAAGCCCAAAGAGTAAGTCACAGGACCTTCAAGATTCAGAGGTTGAGAAAATCAGGTGGGATCAACAAAGAGGAACAGCCAAGAGGTGCAATGAAAACCAAGAGAAATGGCAGTCAGCTGAGGCAAATACTACCAATATGTTCAGAAAATGAGAAACTGGGCGTTAACCACCAGAGGTTACAATGGGACTTGGCAACAGCAACTGTGAGGAATGTTAGGAGTGGAAGTCTGACCAGAGAGAGTTCAAGAGAAAAATTGGAGCAAAAGGTTGGAGATTCTTTCAAGATATTTTACTAGAAAGGAAAGGAAAGAATGGGCAGGTAGCTGGAAACATAAGCAGAGTCAAAGCACTTTATTAAAATGAAAGAAATAACATGTTCATATGATGATGAGAGCAGATTTAGAAAARGGGGTAAACTGAAGTTGCAATCAGAAACTAGTTTTAAAATCTACTCCAGTAAAATAGAAAATCGTGAAGACATTGACAAATTTCTAGAGACATATGGCCTACACAAATGGAATCAGGAGGACATAAATTTTAAACAGATCAATTTCAGACAATGAAATTGAAGACACTATCAAAAGCCTACCAACAAAGAAAAGCCCAGGACCAGATGGATTCTTAGCTAAGTTCTATAAGACCAAAACTAGACAAAGTCACATCAAGTAAAGAAAGCTTCAGATCAATATCCCTGATGAACATAGATGCAAAAATTCTTAATAAAATCCTGGCAAATCACATACAAAAACATATTAAAATGACAGTGCACCATGATCAAGTGGGTTTCATTCCAGGGATAAAAGGCTGGTTCAACATACAAAAATTARTAAATGTAATTTATTATATGAACAGACTTGAGGACAAAAATCATATGATTATTCAATAGATGCAGAAAAAGTATTTGATCACATTCAGCATCCATTCATGTCCAAAACAGTAAAAAACTAGGGATAATATGAACATACCTCAACATTGTAAAAGCTAAATATGCTAAACCTAAGGCCAACATCATTCTAAATGGAGAAAAATTGAAAGTATTCCCTCTAAAAACTGAACAAGACAGGATGCCCTCTTTCACCCCTCCTATTCAACATCTTCCTTGAAACTCTAACCAGAGCAATTAGACAAAAGAAAGAAATTAAAGAGATATGAATATGAAAAGAAGAGCTCAACTATCCCCATTTCTATATTTATATTTAGAATAAATAATATTTATTTATTTATAAATAAATAAATATATATATTTAGAATAAATATATATTCTATATTTAGAAGACCCAAAAAAGCTAGAAGTCATAAATGAATTCAGCAAAGTAGGAGGTTATAAAACTAACATCCAAATAAGTTGCATTCCTACACACCAATGACGAATCAGCTGAAAGAGAAATCAGGAAAACTATCCCATTCACAATAGCCTCAAAAACAAACAAACAACAACAACAACAAAGTGAATTAATTTAACAAAAGAGGTGAAAGACCTCTACAACAAAAACTATAGAACACTAAAGAAAGTAATTTTAGAAGACCTTAGAAGAAGAAAATTTTTCTCCATTTAGAATGGTGTTGGCCTTAGTTTTAGCACATATAGCTTTTACAATGTTGAGGTATGTTCATACTATCCCTAGTTTTTCTAGTGTTTTGAACATAAATGGATGCTGAATTTTATCAAATGTTTTTTCTGCATCTATTGAGATAATCATGTGATTATCCCATGTTCTTCCACAGGCAGATTAGGTAGTATAGCAGATTAATATTGTCAAAATGGCCATACTGCCAAAAATGATATACAGATTTAATGCAATTCCAATGTCATTCTTCATAGAAATATAAAAAGCATTCATGAAATTCATTTGGAAAAATTAAAGGCCCTTGCCAGGTGCAGTGGTGCATGCCTATAATCCCAACAGTTCCAGAGGCTAAGGCAGGAGGATCTTGAGTTCAAAGCCAGCCTCAGCAAAAATGAGGCACTAAGCAACTCAGTGAGACCCTTTCATAGGGCTGGGGATGTGGCTCAGTGGCCAAATGCTCCTGAGTTCAATGACCAGTACCCACCCAAAAAAATGAGGCCCAGAATAGCCAAAGAATCCTTAGAAAGAAAAGTGATGCAGGAGGCATCACAATAGTAGACCTTAAATTATACTACAGACTTATATAACAAAAAGGGCATGGTATTGGCACACAGTAAAAATGGAGAATTGCTACAATATCCTTGAGTATAGGATTTAGGATGGGATCCTTAAAACAAGGATTAAGAGTGAGAGTGTAGCTCAGTGATATAGTCCTGGCTTAGCATGTGCAAGGTCCTGAGTTAGATCTCTAGCACCACAAAAAAAAACAAAAAGCCCCCAATAAATGACCTTAAATCAAAAGTGATATAAATTGACACTGTACATGTGTACACGTGTTTCTAGTGACAATTATCTTTCTAGGGGCAGCCAAGATGAGAGCTAAACTTAGAGCTTAACTTAACCAAAGCTGATTTTACATTAAGTGAATACAACAGAGAGAGGGCAAAGGAGCTGAGGGCATGTGCAGTGGATTTATTGCAGTGATGGGCCAGAGATCTGACTCTGATAAGGAAGAAAAGAAAACTTGAGAGGGCTGAGGGACAGGGAAAATGTGATAGGATTAAAGACATTTGATCATTGGATTATAAATCCCTTTGTAGTCTGACAGRCTTTGTGGAGTGAGCTGAGATATAAGAATGTTTCAAATTAAAACCATGGAAAATGTGTGGCAAAATCTAAGTTGTAACCAAAGGAAGGGGTAGCAAAGGTAGAATAGACAAAATCCCTAGGAGAGCGGTCACACAGCAAGTTAGAACTGTGAATAGATAAAGTAAAACCATTAAGAAGTATTTTAAAAATTGTTCTGGGAACAGGGATAGTGAGCTAAGGCTAAACTCTCAAAGGATTTCAAGGTTTGACCTGGAAATATGTAGATGACTATAGCAGAAGGAGAGGCAAAGCTCTTGGGAGCTCTTCTGAGAATAAGAAGAGCTCCCAAGAATGAGGAAGAAGGAGGGAGACACTCAGCTTCAGAGGTCACATCAAATATTTTGTATTTTACTTTTAGTTATTGCAACACCACTCCATAGATAATACTAATGATTGTGAAATTAAAAACATAGAAGCAAATTCCAAAATTAGATTTAAACTATCTGTAATATGAAGAATTGGCACTGAGTTCTCATTAGGGTTTCTCCAAGATCCAACGTGATAAAAAAAAAAAAACAACCTTTTTTTTTTCAATTATTTGTCTCTGAATAGATTGCCTTTCTTTATTTTCTTCAGAGAGTTGACTATAGGTTTTAAGTTATAAGTTAAGTACGATTGAGCAAGAACATTTAGTTTAACCTTCTGATTCATATTTGATCAGGAAGCACTCACTTAGGTGGCATTGGGGTGCAATTTTAGAACTTCACTGACTGCACTTTTGTATGCATATGAAGGCCCCGCATCAAACACCATTAGGTTTGCAGTGTAATTTGGGTACTCATTGGCACACAGAAACTTCCCAAGATCAGGTAGAAACTTGAGGAAAAACTTTTATGGAAGATATTAGTTAAAGAAAATTAAGCAAGTTAATTTTAAAGAAACATCAGGTTTAGATTTATTAGCATAGTATAAACAAGTAACACATTTTTTAATCAATAAGAATAATGCTGTTGTTTGAGACTGATTTTTTCCAATTTTTTAATTGTGGTAAGATATAACAAAATTTATCATCTTAAATTTGTTTAAGTGTACAGCTCAGTGTTATTAGATGCATCCATAATGTTATRCAACTAACACCACCATTCATCTCTAAAACTCTCTTCATCTTATAGAACTCAGCTCTGTACCCATTAATCACTTCCCACCTCCTCTGCCCCACCTCCCACCAACTACCATTCTAATTTCGGTCTCTGAGTTTAACTACTGCAGATATCTCGCAAAATGGAATCATTTAGTATTTGTCTTTTGGCTTATTTCACTTTACATAACAACATGAATGTTCATCTATGTGTAACATATGTTGGAATTTCCTTCCTTTTCAAGGCTGAATAATATGTGCATACCACAGTATATGTACATGACAYCTTTTGCCTATCCATTCATCAGTCAATGGACTCTTGGATATCTATTGTGAATATAATTCTGCTATGAACATGGATGTGCAATAAGTCAGTGAGTGGTAAAGCACTTACCTGGCACATATGAGTCCCAGAAGTAAAACTCAAGGGTCATAGGTTAATTCTATGATTTATTTTTTGAGGAATTGCCATACTGTTTTCTACAGTATCTGTAACATTTTACATTCCCTCTAACAGTACTCAGGGGTTCTAGTCTCTCCACATCCTCATCAACACTTACTTGCTTCCCCTTTTTTGATAGTAGCCATCTTAGTGGACGTGAGGTAGTACCTCATTATGGATTTTACTTGCATTTCCCTAATTATTATGATATTAAGTATCTCATTTTGTGCTTGTTGGCCATGAGACAAATTACACCATTACAACTGTTATCTCAGTAGGGAGACAAGATACCTGGTGCTTCCTACTTGTATTGGRCATCTTCCCCAAAACCTCTGTAATTTGGATTTTTTTCTCCTCCCTTGGATATCTCTTGCTTGCTAATATGATAGGATATAACATCTGCAAAAATTAGAATTTACTGATGATTCAACAGTAGTCTGCTTTAGATTAACCACTCAGCATTTTCAACTTATTTAAATGGCTTACAACTTATTTAAATGGCTCTTATAAGAGCTGACAACTTTGGGCTAAAATTTGTCCATTCCTAGGATATATCTAGAATTTGAGAAACATTAAGTATTCAAAAATATGCTAATTCTTCTTCTCTTTGTATTTGAGTAAAGTTGGAAAGTGCTTTGGGTGGGTAATATCATCCGATTTCCCTTATTATTCTGCTCTTATTTTTATCTTTGAGAAATTTAAATGCCTTCCTCTATCAAATGGAACTTGGTACCCAGAAAAACTTACCACACATCTGGGGTGACACTGTCATTCTGTGATCGCCACGGGTGGGTTTCATAAATGGCTTCCCCATTGACTTTTAGCCAGGTCCCCATTTGCCTTAATCGCTCCTCAAAAATTGCAGAAATGGTGCCATCTAGTGTGGGTCCAATATTCATCAAAAGATTTCCTCCACATGCAACTGTTTGCACAAGTTGCTAGAGAATTAAGAATAAATACAGTTCTTAGGTTTACAAAAATTCATCTTTCATGTGTTAATACATCATAATTTTCTGTGTACATACAGTCACTATCCAGAAGAACAAACCTAGACATAGAGTAATGCCCTGTGTTTGCAGGTCATCAAGCTACCCCACTTGTAAGAAATTGTTCCCACACAACCTCACTATTAAGAACATGGGCTAATGCTGTAGCTCAATGGTGGAGTGCTTGCCTAGTATACTTGAGGCACTGGGTTTGATCCTCAGCACCACATAAATATAAAATAAAGATATTGTGATTGTGTCTGCCTAAAACTAAAAAAAAAAAAATTAAAAAAAAGAACATGACAATAATGGCCATCATACATTTTACCGTACCTTTACCAACTCTTCAATTGTAAAATAGTCACCAATGTCAGCATTCCTCCTATAGCCCCAGGAAAACTTGTCTATTGTCATACAGTTTTCCCACTTATGCGGCAAAAGGTGTCCTGGGTTATATCGATCACTGCAGGTATAGTAGCCACCGTGCTTACAGATGCAACCAGCTCCCCAGCGATCATTGGTGACTACTGTGTCCCGAACTGGGCTGAAATGAGAAGTATAATTTTTTTCAAAGACAATGAGTCATATGCAAAAGGAAATGTCACTGAAAAGAGGTCTAGCCAAAATCCATTCCTGAAAGATGACCACAGAATGACAGAGTGGGACCCCAAAGTGCTGAAGTCAAATAGACCCAGGTTGATTGGAATTCTGGCTCTGTTAACCTTCTAGCTCCAAGACCTAGAGCAGGTTTTCTAACTCCTCTGAATAACCAATTGCCTCATTATCATTAGAACAAAAATAATTGATGTAAATAGCCCAGTGCCCAGCACACACAGCACTTACAAGAGCATTGTACTATTATTTGAAGCTCTGCCTCCCATACTGTGAATGGCACCCCAAACTAGATTTATACTCAAGATATTTTTCTCCAATAATCTCAAATGTATATTCTAACCTTTCTCCTCTAATTGTGTTTAGTATTTTAGAATCTCAGAAAAATAAACTGTTTAAATCATGTGAAATAACTTCACAACATTTCTTATCATGACTGGTAGTTCACACAGAAGGAACTCATTGCACTTAAAGGAGGCAAWTTTTTTTCCTTTTGTCACAAGGAATACATTTAATCATTAATAACCTCTTTACTTTCTACTGTTTAATTTAAATGCATTTTAATACAGCTCATAACAGGGCTTTGTGTCAATTCTTTTCAGATCAAGTCAGATACAACTTCTTGAGGATAAATTAAGGTCATTGCCCCCTCTCCCAAGCTAATGTAAAAAGCTTGTGCTGTATCAAAAACAAATGTTCCAATCTTCAACATATCGCAGACATGACAAGTTGGGTGTGTCCTAGGAGTTGATCCATTTTGCTCTGAGAACATAATCCTGATGTGAATGTAACTGAGACATGAATTTATTCAGAAAAATGTTTTTCCATTGTTTTCAAAATATTTGTTTTAAATGACAGAAATTYCTTTGCTAAAGATGAAAAACTTCCTCCTCTACAAGATATTTAGCACCTCTAAAGAGGCAGTTTTGATTCACAAACCAAAGGAGATGGTTTCCAGTCCTTTTCCTTGGAAGGAGCACCTGGAAGCACTACCACTTTTGGTATCAAGAGTTTTCCAGAACATGTACTTATGTGCTTTGTAGACCCAGGAAGCAAAAGCAGAAGGCTTCCTGACTTTACTGCACAGTATCAAGTGCTTACAAATGTAAATGTGGTTCCCATGGTTCTAGCCTAATGGAGGAATTCAGTAAGTGCTCCCAATTCACACAGGACAGTCTTGAATGCTCAAGAAAGTAACAGGAAAGAAGGGGAAGAGGTGAGAATACTGAGGATGAGTGGAAAGAGAAGACAGACAAGGTTGATTCTGACAGACCAGCAAAGATTATCAGAAGGTAGGATGATAAAAAGAAGCAATTAGAGGAAGTGAAAATGTAATCAAAATGTAGTACAAGGTCCTTAACAGATCAAAAGAATTGATTAAAAGAGGGACCCACAAAAATAATACTTCTAAAGTTTTTGATTCTTTGATTTTTAGTCTGACTTCAAAATCAGAAAACAAAGTTGTATTTAATTCCTGATTTGTTTACTTCTGATAATTTCAAGTGAATATGRATACAGCTAATAAGTGTTATTTATAATGATTTCCTTCCCTGATAAGGGACAGACAGACTTGAGCAGTGAAAACATGAGGTTAAGGGAATAATTCTATAAATGGGTCCTTCTTGCCAACCCCCAAATGCTTTCCCTTTAAAACAAAAAACAAAAAAACAATTTACCTGCAGCCCTGTCTGGCTTAAGTAGACAGGATGTCTCAGCAAATTACCTATTATCTGAAGGAGAAATGCAGGCACAAAATGTCATAAGAAGAATACAAGTTCCTGTGAAGTGGAGGCACTTTTGTGACCCTAACACAGTCCTAACCCCAGAACTCAAGGAGGTAAGGATCATTCCTTCTAAGCATAAAATCTTCAAGAACAGGTTCCAAATAAAATTAGTCAGCATTGTCCAAAGTGACCTAGAGTTGTCATGACAGTGGGGACTTGAAAGTCTAATATCATCCTGCTATCAGTCAAAAGTCAAGAAGGTGGTTCTGGGGGGCACTCTGGAAACTTCCCTTGGAACCCCCAATAGAACTAGATAGCAGGAGAGGCACACTGTCACTCTATTCTCTGAAAGGACCCATTTTTCTCCCTTAAGAGTGTCCCCCTTTCCTATTCTTTCTAAAAAAAACTTGTGCCTGTWACTCTGAGTGACATGTCTGAAATCTTTCTTTCTGACTTGATCACAAGAATGGGGATTTGGAGGAGGGGTCTCTGTGCGGCCTCAGTTTCTTGGCAGACCCCAACCCTGTAACACTTTCCATACCACAAGTGAGCCTAAAAGGAAATATTTCAAGAAGTATGTAAATTTAAATGCTATATGCAAATTAGGAGCTCTTGGGAAATTACAGGCACCTAGTAGCACACATACCTTTCATTGTACAGCCAGGCTAAGAAGTTTGTGCTGTTCCAGTAGTTATCTGGTGCCCCTCCATCTCCATCTGACCACAGAACCTCAGGCTGGTACTTTTTCACCAACTCATAGAGCTCAGGCAACATCTTAGAAATTGGAAATTTTTGCTTACGGAAGGAACTGGATTCATCTTCAAGGAAGAGTGGATGAAACCATTCAAAAAGGGAATAGTACAGTCCAAAATGCAAGTCAGTTTTGTTCCTGATGGCCACTTCCAGTTCCTTGACAATGTCTCTCTTCGGTCCCTCATCCATGGCATTCCAGTTCCAGGAATACTCTGAACCCCACAAAGTAAAGCCTGAAAGGTGACATTAAAACCCTTTGTAAGCATTGTCAATTTCACTTCAGTAAATTTCCACTCATAAAAATGCCAAAACAACTCAGATGCAATATATAAAAACTACTTAAACAAGTGACAATTGTTTAGCATTTTTTTTCATAGTTTAGCATTTCTTTTTCATATTCTGTTCTTATAAGAGAAACAAATGAGAATTTAAACAAAGTGGAACCTCAATCTTTTAAAACATCACACGGGGTATACTGTAAGGTCTGTATAGTGTGATCTCTTTTTTTCTCCTTAGGATTTTGAGATCCTTGAGGGGCAGCATCATGTCTGCAGTGCTCCCCACTATGCTCAGCCAACTGTCAGCTCAAGATCAAAGCAAAATAAACCAACAACAGCAGGTCACATCTAAGATGGGGACATCTTCCACACCCACGAGCTACAACAATGACCACCACTGTTTACAATGGAGTTTCTGAGATGATGCATTCCTACAATTTTCTTATGTGACTTCTTATCCAAACGTGAAGGTATATTGCTTGGTTGTAGGATTGTCTGTTTTATCATAGTGTGATTCTAGAACACTAGGGATCCATATGTAAACAATCTCCTTGATCTTSACAATTCATTTAACCAAGAAGCAGAAAAGACACCACTTCCCAGTAGTTTCATGCTACCCACCATTTGGAACCTCACCCTACTCTAAACACAAAAGTAAATAATGTTTTTAGTTGTAAGTTGGACACAGTATGTTTATTTATTTTTATGTGGTGCTGAGGATCAAACTCAGCACCTCGCACATGGTAGGCAAGCAGAATACCACTGACCACAACCCCAGTCCCAAAAGTGAATAATTTGCCAATTAAATAGTTGAGAAAATAGTAGTATACCATTACCCAAGTATTTTGAAATAATAAATATTTTAATGGGAATGTGCATTTTGATTGCTAGTTGTTCTATATAAACATGTTCAAAGAGAGATATAAACTGAAATGCTTAAGAAACAACATGAAAGACTCATAGAATCATGGGTATCATGTTATTGTTCCAGTCAAGTCTAAGATTGAGTCTCTCTGCAGATTTATTTCAAGAAGTTTTTAAAATAGTTTGCACTTATTCCAAAGACATTTGGGGTAAGCTTCAAAGCAGTGTTAACATTTGAGGTCTTAACTCAAATATTTTCAACTTGACATATCCTAACGTCAGGCAGTGCAGTGACCACTTGGATCTTTGACTCAGTATCTCCACCATATGCTCACACAGTGTTGGTCCCTCCTAATGGGAACCAGTAGCACATTGTCCATGAGCAATAAAAATTGAGAATGTATAAATGTGGGCTGTGTCGTCTCTCCTCACAGCTTGACTAAGATCATTGTGTTGTTGTTGGTGGTGGTGTTTTAATACACTCACTAAGTAATACTTTATGCCATATAGGTTGGGGAAGTTCCTAGATATCAGGAAATCAACATGATCTCAAGAAAACACACTTAATAAAAATCCGTCTCAGCAGAAATATCTTAAGGAAGAATCATGAAGCTTCAGACTGTGGCCAAAGGGGAAAATACTCTAAGATAATTCCAAATTTTTGTTCCTCCCTTCCTATTTCCTTTGTACTCCTGGAAAAAAACAATTTCTTATATCAAGGCAAAGATGGTCATAGAAATGAAACTACCTAATGAATTATGAGGTTGGGACAATAAACTTAWTGATGTGTCCTTGGTCTTATGATACTAAGTGGTAATGGGTGGAGTRCAGTCTTAGTGTAGGACCACTGTGTTCTCTTTTAGATATTCCTCGACCAACTATGATATTTCTAGGCACCATAGCAGTTCCATAATCCTTTTCCCTCCAGGTAATCTGTGTTGATCACTAGTAGCTCATCCACCATTTGTACCATGTGGCCACCTAAGAGTTAGTCAAAATTGCAGTCAAGTTTATCAGTAATGTTGCAAGACTGCAGCATAGACTTCATGGTGTCTTCACAGAAAGTATTCAGAGGGAAGAAAGGTAAGTATGCAATTCCTATGGGAAACTCTAACTCTCATCCCACTTCAGTTGGCTTTAAGTAATGTTTGGAAACAACTGTGCATAGAATAAATTGTGGCCATCTTGTTCTGTGAAATATATGATCTGTCTGTATCCCTACTGTCTCTCAATTTAGGTAAAACATGGTCTTAAATGTCAGTCTGGAGAACTGATCTCATAGGGACGACCTTGCTTTAGCAAAGGAATAACTTGTCAATTCCCGAGCATTGTCAGCATCTATGTGCACATTACCTTCATGATGTTTGGAAGTCAARACAACGTATTTGGCACCAGAGGCCTGAAGAATATCTGCCCACTGATTTGCATTAAAGAATTTTGCTGTAAATAGTGGTGCAAAATCTTCATATTTAAAATCAGGAGGGTAATTATCTTTCATAAATTTCACAAACTTTGGTCTCTTTTCCTTTTGCCAATACCACCTATGGGAAGAAGARCAGTAGCACATAGACAACACAAACATAACCATTTGAAATAATTGCCCTGGCTCCCTCTAGTATCTCCCAGATCCTCAAAAATTATCCAGATCCTCTTGGCTTCCCCATCAATTTCCCCATTGACTTTGTATTAAGAAAAGCTGATGTAAACCAAACTCCCCTCTCATTTTCCCYCTATTCCCACTGTGAAATCCTCTCAGCTCTGAAATTAAAGCATTCTGGACAACCTGGCTAGATATTTTCTTAGTTCTTCACTTTTAAATCACAATACCTAGAATGACCTTTAAGTGCTTTGTAACACAAGAAACTAGGGCTTCAAAAGAGACAACCCCTACTATATTCAATAGCAGAAAACACGTTTTGGGTGTAAGATGAAAAAGAAGCAACAGTAAATAAGAAGATGCTGTTTTTAACAAGTTAACTCAGCCTTCAAGAATGACTTGTCACATGTATTCATTCTGACCAAGAGTGAACTGAGCCTAAACTGCTTCCACAAGGCTGCATAAGGAAACGTACATCTAAAACACATGAAATCAACCTGACAGTAACTTTCCTTACAAAACAGATGCAAGCTATATCTCGGACCCATCTTCTGCCTGTCCGTCACCTCTCCTTTTATAAGAATACTTCCACTGGATAAACAAATCCACAGTCAGCACTGCATCCCCACAGATGACTAGGAGGCTCTTCTGGCTGTGAAGACTTCGCTGGTGAACATAATACATACTGAGTACTGCCCTGTGCCTGGTCCAAAGTCACATACATATTTTCCCAGCTTCCACGGTAGCTAGGACACAGAAGTGAGAACTATGCTGGCCAGTGGACCTTGTGGGAAAGGTGGCTTGGGGGTTTCTGGGAATGGTYTCTTTCCGAGCAAAAAAGACAAACAAGGCCTTCCTTCCTGCCTTTGGGCAAGATTGCAGGCTATGTGAGGTCTGGGATGCCTGGACACTATCATAAGACTATGAAGGACCAAGCCCTCAAACAGAGGCTGCATCTTTGATTCATCTGTGAGCCAACTACTTCTAAACTTCTTGTTCTRTGAGACAATAAAGTCCTATTATTACAACTTTAACCTGGGTTTTTGATGCCTTGAAATGAAAAGACCACAAGTGATCTATGGTGCATTTTTACTATTTATTTATTTATTTATGCTGCTGGGGATTGAGCTCAGGGTCTCCAACATGCTGCTAATGCTCTGCCTCTGAGCTATCCCCTCAGCCAACATTCTTATCTTTTAAATTGAACTACAAGTTTGGCACAGTAGTGTAAACCTGTAATAACAGCAACTGGGGATCCTCCTAACTCAACAGGAGGATCAAAAGTTCAAGACCAGTCTAAGCAAAAGGAGACCCTGTCTCAAATTTAAAAATAAAAAGGGCCATGGATGTAGCTGGGAGGTAAGAGTATCAATAGGAAAAAAAAAAAAAAAAAGTGAACTACAAAAGAAATTGTGACAATCAGAAAGCTGAACACAAATATAAACATGTACACACTCATTTGAAGAGCTGAATATTAGAAGCACTTAATCAAAAAAGGTGTGTGTAACCATTTATAAAATCACATGCACATTTCATATAAATCTCAAGATAAATCTAACAAACGTTTTTGTGCAGCACCTTTCATATGGCAGTCTATTAATGATTTAAATGTTTTTGTTTTTTGAGACAGGGTCTCACTAAGTTGCCAGGCTAGCCTGCAACTCCCATCCTCCTGCCTCAGCATCTCTGGTGGATACACACCATCCATCACACATTGGTGTGCTATGTTAAAATGYTATCATGTGTCACTCCAGAAACTTTTAAAGAAGGTTCTAGCTAGGCAGGGTGGCACACGCCTGAAATCCCAGCCACACTGGAAGCTAAGGCAGGAGTCCCCCGGAGTTCCAGGCCAGCAAGGGCAACTCAGTGACACCCGGTTTCAAAACAAAAACAAATGAAAGCCGTTCCACATACACTTGGACCATACTTCAAGGCAAAACGACTGAAAGTGGGCAGWTAGCCGCCTAACAACAGTGGGACGTGAGCCCGAGGCACTGGTCTACCCGACACAAACTGGTTTTTCGGGTCGCTCCCCGGCATACATAGTGTCATAACTCCAGCTCGACCAGCGCAAGGCTCCAGGAGGTGAGGAGGTCSATCCAGGGTCGGAGTCTGGAAACTTGCAGTCACGAGGAAGGACTGTCCAGTGCTCTTCTAGCCCCAGGCGCTGTCAGGAAGTCATCAACCCCGGAACCGAACTCTGGAACCGGCCAAGCGAAACTGACAAGCCGGCAGCCATAGGCCCCGGCGTGCTGGGGCGCGWCCGGGGTCCTGGGTGGAGGGACAAAAAGCAGCGTGCCAGGAGACTGGGGTTGGGGGAGCGCACTCACCAGAACCATTCGCTACCGAAGCTGGGCACGGAAAACACGCCCCAGTGGATGAAGATGCCGAACTTGGCCTGGTCGAACCAGRCGGGCAGTGGGCGGGCGTCCAGCGACTCCCAGGTGGGGTCGTAGGGTGCCGCGCAGCTGGCCGGGCCCGGTGGGGGTGGCAGAAGCAGCAGCAGCAATAGCGGGAGCGCGAGGCGCGTGCGCGCCAGCTCCCAGGACAACATGTCCCGTCTGCACGCTCCCGCGGCCGCTGGAGCTTTRTACTTCCGCGTCTCCTGCCAAGTATGCTCTGCTACTGTCACCTGACCAAACCCGCCTCGGTCAGATGACGACCATCCTCTCTGCCTGTGAGTTGGGTGTGCCCGCTTTGGGGCCCTTAAACTGAACCCAAGAGGGTTACCTGGTTCACTTGCAAAACTAAGAAGGCCAATTATTATCCCACAGCCAGCCTAGCTAAGACTCCCAGTCCATCTGCTTTGAGGAGAGAAAAGTTAAGTGTGGATGAGGGACCTGTGACCAGAGCTCTGCCCTCCATCTGATACTGATAGGGACAGACATGAGTGGTGAGAACATGAGGTTAAGGGAATAAATGTATAAACTGGGCCCTCTGTGCTGATCCAAATGCTTTCCTTTCTACCTCTAGCCCTAACTGGCTTACATCAATGGGATATGTTACATTCCTCAGCAAACTGCCTATTATCTGAAGGAGAAATGCAGGTGTAAAAAGTCATAAGAAGAGGACAAGTTAATCGGAAGGGGGACACTTTTGTGACCCTTACACAGACCTGACCCCAGAACTCAGGGAGATAAGGCCTAAGCATAAAATCTGTGAGAATAGATTCCAAATAGAAACAGTCAGCATTAGTCAGAGTGAGCTGGAGTTGCCACAGCAGTGGGGACTTGAAAGTCTGACATCATCCTGCTGTCAGTCAAAAGCCAAGATGAGGACCTGAGCAGAACTCTCTGGAAACTTCCCTGGGATATCCAATGAAACTGGAGGGGAGCAGGGGCACACTCTCTCCTCTCCAAGGGGACCCACTGTCTCCCTCAAGAGTGTTCCCCTCTCCTCTTTCCCATTCCTTCTAATAAACTCGTTGGTGCCTGTAACTCTGAGCTACACTRTCTCAACTCTTTCTGACTTGATTCCAAGAATCAGGGTTTGAAAGGGGGACTTCAGGCTGTTTCAGTTTCTCAGAAGACCCGAAACCCTGTAACAATATGACCCTTACAGAAATCATTAGAAAGGTCATTGTGACCCCATCCACTATGGAGGCTGCCTAATGTATCTCAACCATGTTCTTAGAGGCAGGAGTTTCTCCAGGTAGGAACTCAGAAAGTAATCCAGATTGTTCTTAACCACTACATTTGCCCCAGAGTTTCTGGATATGTTAGAACTGTCGCTGCCAATCTTCAATTTTTATCATGTGAAGTCCYAAGAGTTTCAGGTTCAGTTAATCTGGACTGGGGCCCAAGAATTTACATTTCTACTGAGGCCCTAGGTGAGTTTCATGTTGTTAGTGGGTGGACCAAACTTTTCCGAGAACTACTCATTAGAAAACAAGGTGATCTGAGACAGGTGATACTTTTGAAATGAATGTTTCAGAAATCTCCAAGCTGGCTTGGGGAAAGGAGCCAGAAACTTGGAAAAATTAATCAAGAGCCCGCTTCACAAGTTTATCTCTCCTGCCTTATAAATATCTTCAGAGTAAAGCCAGAAAGAGTCCTCACCCCTCTCTTCTGAAAAATCCTCTCCCTTTGTTGGGTCAATTTAAATGCCACCTCTTGTGTGATGTTCTCTGCCTCCTGCTTCCCTCCCTAAACATTTTATGCCCTCCTGTGTATCTCCATAACACCATATTGCAACCACTAAGACAGGATTTCAGGCTCTGTCTTGTGATTGGGTATATATAGACCCCATTTCTCCTTAGTCTGTGCATTTCTTGAGGGTGATAATATTGAATTTCATTTCTCTTGTCCCTGCATGTACAGCAGAGCCTGACACAGAGAAGCTGTGTCAAAACACTCAAAATGTGTTTGCTGAACTTCTTCGCAGAATCGGGGTTCTAATTAGTGAGTGAACAAGGAAGGAAGTGGCATGTTGCCTGCACTCTCCCATCTCTGCAGAGAGATGGGAACAGCTGAAGTCACTGACATCACAGGAATAGTGGCATTCTTCCTCTGCAGGAAGGAAGTGGCTCCCCAGGACTGCAGCTCTACCATGAGAGTCCCCAGTTTTGTCATAGCGAGGGTCTTTTGGAAGAGAGGGCACAAGAGATCMGCTAAACATGAACTACCAATTGCAACAGTCCCAGTTTGATAAAAAAAAGAAAGTGATAATTGTTATTACCTCGTCTTTGAAGCCCTAGAACCATCTGAGACTTCAGTAGCCACTGAACCCAAGGCACACTGGAACAATAAGGTGGACTTCTCACCACTGTTGCCTTAACATCATCCCTCATCAGAGGTTTGTGTATTAAGTGCAAGTGACATTTTTTCCTAGTGACAAAGATATTGTGAAGAGTCAATGGGACTGTAGATATGGTCGTGGTGACAACGCAGCAGTGGGGCCTGGTCTTCTCATCAGCCCTATGTGAACCCCATGTAGCAAAAACTTCCATCTTCCAAACTGTGCTTTTATCATGTAATAAGTTATTTACATTCCCATGCATTTCATTTTAAGAGTGCCGATTAGCTCTGATCTACATAAATAACATTTGGATCATTTATCATTTCTTGTGAAGGCAAAGAAACTATTTTAGTTAGCTTTTCTGTCCCTACAATGGGCAGAGAAGCCCTTTCCCTCAGGCTCCCCTTTACTTTTCTAACATCCACAAAGATAGTGTTCACACTTACATGAGGCTTACAGGGAGTTGGGGACAGGAGGCTCAGGTGCTCTCCAGGTTCTGGAAAGGAATATGATGTCCCTGCCTCCTCTGGCCCTGGGTGCTGACCTTGGTCCTCTTGCCATTGCCACAAGAGGCTTGAAATTCCTGGGATTCATGATCTGGTCTGCAGGGAGGCTTCCAGGGGTATGCTGGGGTCTTTTAAGGCATGGTTGTGAACTGCACATGCATGGCAAAGAGGGCCTGATACAAAGAATCACTCTGGTCAAATTTTCTGTTAACTTCTCAGCTACTTCTGGATCCTATCTGTGACACTGAAATATCAAGTTCATTCCTTAGAAATGTAAAATTCAGCCTTCTGTGCCTAACAGGGCTATACCTGTTAAATGTGCTCATCAGCCTATGATGGGATAGAAAAGCCCCTTCCCTCAGTCTCCCCCTTACTTCTGTAACCCCCACAAAGATAGTGTTCACACTTACAGGAGGCATACAATGTACAATGCATAATTTAATTCTCACCTCAATCTGAGGAAGATGATGTCCCATTATCATTCACATTTAACAGGTGAGGACACTGAGACTCAGAGAGGTTGAGTGCCTTACCCAGTGATCCACAGCCCTGTAGCTGAGAGAGGAGTTGTCTGGAAACCCCAGTGGTCTCAAACTGTTTTCTGGGGTGCTCCTTATTATTTGTAATCTCTTGTCCTCCTCTCTTTACTCCTTTTCTATGTATTCCCTGACTCCAGGCCGAAAAAAGAAAGGGTTTCTTTCATTTGTGCTATGTCATGGGCTCTTGCTACCATGAAACTGGACTAGTTACCATATAAAGGCTGGATGGAGTTCGATTTGTTCTGAACACTCTCCTTCAGCTGTGTGTTGATGTCAGCTGYGGGGTGAATGTCTCACTTCTTCCACTGTCCACTTCAGAGGAGTTCTGGGAAGTGCTGAGACTGGTTGGTGGCCATCATCCAACTCCCATATAGAGATCCAGAATGTCATCAAGAGCTCACTGAGATATCAGCTCCACCCTGGGCAGTCGGTGACATCCCTGAGGATACAACTGGCAGGACTTCTTCCTCTGACAGCAACACAGAATCTGGTGGGGGCTGGTCTCCCAGGCTTTCGTGCCCAGTGCCCTGTGTGCCAGCAGCTGCCAGCCGTGGTGGCTCCATGAGCACACCTGTTGCTACAGGACAACGACCTCACGTTTCCTGCAATTGGCTCCTTCAGACAAGCAGGATCAGATCAGAGCTTCTTGACAATGTTCCCAGGGAGGCCCAGGGCTCCCAAAAGCCTTATTAATRAACCATGTCCCCCCAAAGAACTTGATATGTCAGATTTCCGGATCTTCTATCAAAACCTTCAAATATAGAGTTTAAGCCTTAGTTTGGAGCAGTTCTAATACTCAACTAGCAAAGGGTTTTTGTTTGTTTGTTTGGTACTGGGGACAGGGCATTTAACCACAGAGCCACATCCCCGGGCCTTCTTTCATTTTTTWATTTTGAGACAGGATCTCAATAAGTTGCTTAGGGCCTCTCTAAGTTGCTGAGGCTGACTTTGAAATTGGGATCTTCCTGCTTTAGTCTCCTAAGCTGCTGGGATTATAGACATGCACCACAGTTTTCCCAGCAGCAAAAACTAGTTTTACTAAGTATTATCTTATAAAATATTATGTGAGTAAGAAATCTACTGCCTGTGAGTCTCTCCATAATACTGTGTCCTAAAATAGCTCATAAGTTTTGTTCTTACAGTTATTTAACAATTTTTTCCAGTAGAATCTCTCTTCTTCTTCCTTTCCAAATAACACAATTTGCCATTCTTTCCAAATCTTATGTCAATTGTTAACCTGGTATTTTAAGATCATTTATGTCCTAAGGTACACTAAAGGGGGTCTTATTTTTAACATAAGTAAGGAAGACGCAGGACGTGGGGAGGCATCTTCAAAACAGAGTACTTGTACACAGAGACCAGCCTAAATATTTGCTAATGCACCTTGTTTTGGTGCCTACATTTACTCCAGATGGAACAATGAAATTTGCCCATGAGTTAGATAGTAGTTAGAAATGAGCAGTGAAGTGTGAACCAATAACAGCAGGGTCATGGGGTTTCTTTGAAATTGCCTTTCGTGAACAAATCAAATAATTTGTAGAACAACAGGTTCACTAACCCTGAGAATAAACAGATGGAAATAAAGGGAGCTAATTAAGAACTAAGTCAAGAAAGATCAATGGGACCAACTCCAGGCAAGGTCTACTGATGTTATTGTACAGTTAGGATTAATGGCCATAGATTTCTCCATGTATTCCAGAAGGGAAATTCCTTTAGTAGTGCAGGTGCACTAAGATGAAGTCTACAGGGCATTGACCTTGACCCCAGCACCTACATTAATATAGGACCAACTTATAGATGCAGCCCCGCTGAATGGGATGGTC